GACCCTCTGGGCTCAGGATAAACTTTTACCTCTCCCTTAAAGACTTTAAATCTGGGGCCTTGCCCATAATGAGTAACCAGAAATAACTTTTTCAAAAAATGTATTTTATTGACTATGTTATTATAGTTGTCCCAGTTTTTCCTCCTTTGCCCCCCTCTGCCCAGTACCCCCTTCCCTCCAGTATTCTCCCTCCTTAGTTCATATCCATGGGTTGTGCCCATGGGTGGTCTTCCACCACCCCAATGCCCACTGGTTTTTACAACTAGAGTTATGGGGATCTATCTTCCTGGTGGTGGAATCCTGGGCTGTGTGGCCTGGCTTGGGGCTGGGATCACTTGCTCCCAAGGTATCCCTCCTGATTTTTATCCACCACACGAGAATGTGGGACTGGCTGATCCACCGTCACTGCTGCCTCTCTGGGCCACATCACATCACCACACCTCTCTGCCTGAGTCCACAACTCCACCCCTCCTGCTTGTCTGGATGAAAGGGGCTTCTTCAAATGGATGTCGTGCCTCCACACAGCTTGATTTTCTCTTGGTTCAGAGTGTTAGTTGTTTTGGTAATCCAATTGTAATCCTTTCTATGGTTGCATGACAGGGTGAAGCATGTCCGCCTATGCCTCCATCTTGACCGGGATTCCCAGAAGTAACTTTTTGGCACCTGTCTTATCTATAGGGCAGTGCAAACATCTAATTACTGAACACTGCTCTTCTTATCCTACAAATGATTTTTTTTTGCTCTGTGAAGCTCTAAGGCACCTTACCTTACCCTTAGCTCAGGATGTCATATACACTTCATTGACTCTTTCTTCTCCCTGAACCTCTTATGTATGTGGGACCTCTGACTTTCTCATGTATGTGGGGTTCCTGCACATACAAATGTAATTAAATTTGGTTCTGTTCTCTCTGTTAATCTAATCTGTCTCATGTAGATTTAATTGTTAGACCAGTCCAAAGAACTTAGAAGGATAGAGTGAAATTCCCTCCTCCCCCACAGCTCCCCTTCACCAAGGGAGAAGTGCTGAGTCTGGTTTTCGGGGGCAGGCTTTCAGTGATCTGGGGTGGGCTTCGAGATGCCTGAGAGACACGGCGCCTTATTCCCATTTTTCCAGGAACATCTGATTTCTTCCCATTTGCAGCTGCATGTCCTTCCCGTTGATGTAGGAGTTTGTCTCCTTTCTCTTCCACCAGGGAACATGGTACCCCACGGAGAACAGGTGTTCTGCTAGCAGCGGGGGTAAGAGAAAAACAAGTCCTGTGCTGCATCTGATGGGACAGTCTCGGGGTAGAGAGAGCACACGCACAGCTGCCGGCATGGTCTAGGCCTGCCAGAGGCCAGCTCTTCGACAGAGCAGTGTCTGAGCTTTCAGGTGGGGAAACTGAAACCTGTCGTGATGCCATATCCGTGTGTCTTCTTGGTTATTCGCCCAGCACGTGTGGTCTGCCAGTGTGTTAGCACTGCCCACAGGCAGGCTCATGCCTCCTGCCATCAGCGTTTCAGTTGCCACCCCCGCAGACCCTGAAATGTGCGTGCAGCTGCATGTGGACATCTTAGGGTGTCTTCGTCCAGCCGTATGCAACACACGAAGAGAAGGTGTTGGGTGGAGATGCAAGATGTGTCTGAACTGCAGGTACGAAGAAGGATCGGGGTCCCTGACCTAATGGGCCGCTGCTCCAGCTCAGTCACCTGCTATCAGAAAGCTGGAGGTAGTGTGGGTGGCTCAAGACAAACGAGTGGCCACTACCTGGGACACAGCTCAATAGCAGCAGAGGGTGGGATGTCTAAATGTCACCTGGCACGTCCTAAGCAAGGTGGGGTGCCAGGGGCTCCAGGGAGATGCTGGTTCAGGGGAGCACGGGCTGCTTTAACCAAGTGCGCTTCATGCCCACTCCTTTCGGTCTTTATGACTAGCAAATACTCACGTGTGTAATTGTACTAAAGATTCATTGAAAAGCTCAACTTTATGCCTCCCCTGGCCATTGTGGATTGTGGAGTTGTACAACCATCCCTCCCTCTGATCGGGAAGTCTGCATACGCACTGCCTGCTTTCTGGGCTTCTCATCCGGATGTTTTGGGCCAAGGACCAGGTTTAGAATGGGAATTGTTCACAGATTTAGGATTTTCAAATGGTCCTGTGGTCAGAAATTACTTGGGAAGAGTTAAATATGCCATCTGCAAGGGGGAGAAGATGCTCAAGCAGCGCTTGTAGAAAGGCAGCTTCTCATACTTAGACGACATAGCAGCTCTTACAGGCTAGTAACGCCCTGCACTGCAGGTGGTGCCGGGAACTGCTCCACCTGTGTGAACACAATCTAGTTATGTTGAGAAAAATTTAAATTAGACTCAGTTTTGTTCCAGAAGTCCTGCATGTGTAAATCTATTCCACATAAATGAAAGTAATAGACTGCAAGGTTGTATGAACAAGGATGTTTATTGTTGGCAGGGGTGAAAAACGGGCACAACCTGAAGGTCCAACTAGAAAATGATTCAATTAACAGTGTCCATCTGTACTGTGGAATACTATGCAGCAATGTAAAAAGACAGGTTAGCTAACTAGTTAGCCAGCTGTTAAACTGGAGAGAGATTCGGGATGCAGTGTTAAATTACAGAGGCAAATTGCAGAGAAATGAATGTAACATGTATGATTATAGTAATTTTAAAAGAAGTAATTAAACAAAAACTCTCATATATTTGAACATAATGAAAGTGCAGAGAAGAAAGGAAGGAGGGGTGTGGGTTGAGGAAGGTGGGGAGGCAAGAACACAAAAATCATGGGAAAAATGAAGAAAGCGTGCAATAAGGTTGAGAAAAAATTTGAAATATAAATGCTCACTTATATAATTATTGCAAATATGTACACTTATATATGCAAATGGATAAAGGCTGGAAGGCTATAGGAAAAACTAAAAACACTGACTTAATCAGATGCTTGGATTGGGGGCAATGTTTTGTTTGGATTCCTGTTGTAATTTTAACGTCACAATAAACTTCTTTAAAAACATCATTCCTCAGGAAGAACAAGAAAGTGGTGGTTGGTGAAATTATTTACATTTCAAATGACTCGATCAGGAATAATTCAGAAGCTCCTCGCAAGGCCTTGGGTAGAGCAGGTGCTCAGCCCGCCTTTGCTGAAATGCAAAACCAGACTCACACAGCCTTGGCTTGGCCTCATAATTGGTGAACATGAGCAAGGATGTTCAAGCACACACGGTTTTGATTAAAAGACCCATAAATAAAATCTGCATCTGAGTCACCATGTACAAATTCACTTCACACCCCACTTGAATCTGGTTTCTGGAACTATTACAGAAATGAGAAATGACAAGCCATTTTAGAAAACATACTAGATCGTGGACTAAGTGTTTTCATATCAGAAGTGAAGTCATTTTGCTCATGTGCCTGTGTGTGCCCTCGTAATTAAACTCAGAAGAGCCGGGACCTGAAATTTCCACATCAGTTTATAAGTATTTGTTCTTTCTGTCTGCATTGCTATTGTTGTTACTAAGAAAAGAAAAATTAAAAATGGACATGTAAGAAATAACGCGCATGTGATCTGTACTTGAACTTTTTTCTATGAAAGAATTCAACAGGCCCCCGGAAGTGGGCAGGGAGAGAGGGGCTGGCGGCATGAGAATGGAGACCACGGGGTGGGGGACGCGTGGGGGTGGGATGTACTCTGCGCTGTTTCAGTGCAGGGCAGGAGTCTCGGCGCGGACCCAGGGCCAGGCTGCTCCCCTGGGCTGCCCCGCCCCCACGTCCTCCACCCTCTTTCTACGTTCAAACCTTCCAAATGTATCCTTGAGAAGAACACTGATAACGGTGGAGGCTCAGAACAAGAGGTGCCATGATCAACATTGATGTTTTAAAATACTCCAGATAAAATGTCTGACAACACACTTTTTTTCTCTCACAGACTCTATGGGAGAATTGATGATCGCCAGCAGCTGTTATCTCCAAAAAACAGTTCAACAACCCCCGTGAATCTCTGAGGTTACCCAAGAGTGCCCGTGGGGCGTCTTAGAGCATTAGATTCGTTATTTTTATTTAAAGGTACTTATATTGTGTAATACTTGTTTTTAACTACAATTAACAAATAACATTTTTGTAATATATATTTTAACCACTAATAAATAGATAAGAAGTGGTATATCTATTCCTGCTTATGGTATGGATGAATTATTGTTATTTTATTCTTCAATTGCAGTTCACACTCAATATTAGTTTCAGGTGCACAGCATTGTGCTTGGACAACAGTGGGCTTTACAGAGCAGTGCCCCCAGTAGTTCACGTGCCCGCCCGGCACTGAGCACGGCCAAGACAACATTACTGATGGTAGTCCCGGCGCTGTACGGCCTGGAGGGACTGCTCCTTAGACCTCCCTAAAGACACTGTTTCTTTTTGACCAGGAAAAACTATTTCTGTGTAGTGATAGGCAGTTCACAAGAATGATGGCCTGCCTCCAAAGTGGTGGTAAAAATACTGCTGGAGACGTGTGGAGTTCCAGTAAAGGAAGCGCGTGTAAAAGACGCTCGCGTGCGTGTGCCTGCAGACATGCACGGGGAATGAGAGGAACATCAGAAAGCAAGCATGTCGTTCAAAGTTGTTTTCTTAAACACACGGACTGTTTGAGAGGGGGGAACAGCAAACACTTACCCTTCGTGTGAAAAAATATCTTGTGCCAGAGACACATCCTGCTGTGGATGTAATCTGCTCTGGGAATCAGCTTGGCAATGTTTCCTTACCAGAGAATTTCCAGGCCTCTGTCTATTTCTATTTCTATTTTAATTTAATACCTTTATTATATTTTGGTTTAGTTAGAATCGAATAAAGCCTCCCTGTAACAAAGGTGTCAAAATACATGACCGTCAGCTCAGGCCTTTTCATATTTCTAAAAATGGAATTTCCCCAGTTCCAACAGAGATATGTGTTTGGATTTGGCCTTGAGAGCCATCAGAGACCATGGGGCAGCTCTGGGATTGGACAGAGCAGACAAGCTGGGGTTAGACAAGCCAGGCTTCAGTTCCATTTGTGCCCCTTTCTGGCTGGTTCACCTCTCGGAGCCTCAGTACAATGGCAATAACACCTGCCTCTGCGCGTTGTTAGGAGGTATGGTGAAGTGCCTGGCACCATCCCTGGTGTGTTGTTTTATCCATTCACCAAACATTTATTGTGTAATACAGTGTGCCAGGCACTCCGCCGGGAGCGGAGGATGCAGTGATGAGCACACACCCTCTGGGAGAGCCTGTGGGGATGGACACACAAACAATCAAATTCAAGCAGATACCTGAGGAGACACTTAGGCGTGCTATTGGAAGTGCTGCAAAATCCCTGCTGTTTGGTACCTTCAGAACACCTGTGGGTTGGGTACTGGGGGAAGAGAGCTGGGATGACTCTGGTTTGCTCGCCTGCTCATCTACGTGGCTGCCTGCCTGCTAACGGGCTTATTTCACAATGAACCAAATGAAAACCAGCAGGCAGAGCATCACAGGCTGGTCCATGGAGACCCGGAGTCCTGCTCCCTTTTCCAACCAGAAATCGCAGTGCTTGGCGGAGCAGAGCTCCCTGACCAGCCTCCACAGGATCCTCTGGTGAAGCTTGCCCTGTTTCTCTTGGAACAGCTCCTCCTGGTTCTCAGCCTGAGTGATGTTGATGCAGCTGGTGACAAACTTCTCCTTGGTCACGTTCGCCTCAGAGCAGCCATCGTAGTGGATCCCGTCGGGGAACTGCCAGTAGTTGGCCTCGTAGTACCTGTTGCCCTCAGGTCCGAAGTTGATATCCAGCTTCCGGCCTTGCTTGATGAAGGCCCCGGGACGCATCTGCACCTCCATCCTCTGGGCCTCCGTGACCGGGGAGCTACTGGGCAGGGCCTTCCGGTTCCACTTGATTCTGTGCTTTATGCCTCTTGCCTTGACTGCAGCCAGCTGGCTGAAGAGCAGGACACAGATGATGGCCAACCAGCATCCACCCATGTGCTTCCTCATTGTGTCCGGATCTGCAACAGCAAAGGATGGGGCGGTTCACTTCTCCAGTGGGGTTGCCAGCTCCCCGCCCCCTCCCATGTGTAGATTTTAAACAAGGGATGGCCTCCTTGCCCCATTTACATTTTCCCAGCAGCATGATTGTTTTCCCATGCTTAGGCTGCACAGGGTTAAGTCAATACCAAGTTTCTTGTGTTCGCCTGGAACTATATCCATTCAGGGCGGTGACCCTGGTTTTCTCAGGCAGATAAGAAGCTGCAACTGGCAATTATAGAGCCTTTGAATGTGCATGGGAAAAGAAAAAGAGTAATGACTTAATACATACAGATTTTCTTTGGTACTCCCAAGTCTTCCAAACCAAGGGGTCTCTGGGAGGCAAATACAGCAGAAGAGGTAGAATCAGAGGCTTCCGGGCATAGGCTCTGTTTAAAAAGAATAAATTTGTTAACCAATGTTAACATGTAAAATGAATGTATATATTGCTAGTCAGAGCAGCTTACAAAATGCATAAGGTCTATTTTGAATCTTCCCTCTTTATTCTCCACTGCTCCGAGCTGGCACTGTCTTGGGCACATTCTGCCATGTATTCTAAAGTGTCAGTGGCTGCTGATTGTGAAGGTGTTTAAGGCAGAGAGAGAGGAGATGGGCTCAGGGGCAGGGGGAGATGGGATGGGAGTGTGGGGAGGGTCCCCTGCCTCTCCCTATGGTCATAAGTAATCTTCTTATGTTTCGCCTCTAGGGACAGTGTGACCCAGTGAGCCTCCCCCAGATAGTTTCTTATCACACACTTACCATGTGTCAGCCACTGACATTGTCTAACTCAGTTCTCTCGTGGGAGAGGCACAGCACTACCCCCATTTTATAAAAGCTGTGCTGGGAACCAGGAGTTATGTGATTTGCCAAGGCTGCACAGTGACAGGTTCTGACACTGCTCCCACCAGTCCCCACTGCCCTCTGGGCTGTGGGAGCGGATGGTGCCCAGATGTTGTGCTTTTGACTCACTGGGCGTGAAGGGCAGCCTGATGGACCCTAAGCTGAGCAAAGAGCAGAGCTTGGGAGACATTTCCAAGGAAATGAAATGATGGAGAGGACAGGAGGGCCTCGGGGAGCACAGAGGTGACCCTAGGGCTGCTGATGATATCAGAGAATACCCCTCCCTTCCAGCCTCCCGAACTGGTAGTTTGTCACATCTGGTTCCTGAAGTTACAATAGTTATTGTGGAAATCCACCTCCCAAGGTCAACTGTCTGGGGCACTGAGCACCTGGACCTTTGTCTGTGCAGATCAGGGATGCAGGATGTTACTATAGCAGAGTGTGCTTAGGCTGTCTCCTAGATAAGATTTACTGTGCATCCTTAAGTGCCAGAGCCTCAGGGGGGTGAAAAGTTAGCACGCCTAGCCCCTACCACACCCTTCATCATCCCGCTGCAGTTTTCCTAAAAGTGTTAAGTTCACTTCTGTTAAAATGTTCAATTCTAGTGAGACGCTGGTTTTTATGTAGAGAAACAGGCAAAATGCAACCTAAGTGTACTTCTAGTCTCTGGGCACCTACAAAGAGGCTTCTGCTGACTTCTCTCACCATGCAGGCATCACCTGGTCTCTGCACAGGGAGGGCGTGAATGTGTCCAGCAGCAGCCTGTGCACCCAGGCTTTCAGCACTCAACCCTCATGGCCCCCTAATCTCAGGGAGCTCGGAGCAGCTTTCTCCAAACTGATTGGAGAAAGCAAACATTCATTAACTCCCTGAACCGGGGCTACACCCCGTGTCATCAGCCCTTACGCCTTGGTAGGAGCAATCTTAAATAAGAATAATAACATCATTTACAGGTGCATCAGATTAAATAATAGCATAGAGAAATTGAGAAAGAAATTAGTCTTTCTTTCTAGGCAAGGGCTTAAAAGCAAGAGAAAATCCCCACCAGCCAACCCTGCAAAAGCATTTTTTCACAGCACTGAAACATAGGCATGCACACCTGGAATGACTAACGTTTTCACAAGTGTCCCCTGACTCAAGTCCCATCCCAGGAGATGGGAGTCAAGTAATCATTGCATGGTTTGCAGTCTGATGAGAAATGAGCAACCCCGACTAAGGAAATGGAGTTCATGCATAAACTCTGCCTCCCCACCTACCTTGGGCTCTCTCTGGGAGCGTGCCTTTGGAGCTACAGCCGGCTGCACTGTCCTCCAGCACACCCTCTTGGCAGCCAGGCCTGCCCAGCTTTGTAGGAGCACAGAGGGAGTGGCATTCCTGCTCCTCTCCAAATATGGCAGCCTTCCTTCCCTGGCAGGGCCAATCAGGAGTTCCCAGGTGCTCCTTTGTCTTGAGAAGGATGGAGCTTCTCATCACTTTTTACTAATAAGCATCACGTGAAGATCTTGATGAAGTTCAGCAAAACTTAGGAGTTGCCTCTTATTTTATTCATGTATTTATTTACTTACTACTGCCAGTTTATTTATTATAAAGGATACAAATAAACAGCCAGGTGAAGAGGTGTAGAGGACAAGGTCTGGAAGCATCCAAATGCAGGAGCCCCCAGAGTCTGGGGTGCTCCACCCTCCTGGAACATGGATGAGCTCTCTAACCTGGGAGCTCTCTGAACCCCACTGTGCTAGGAACTGGGGCAAAAACCAAGCAGTATAACAAGATGCTCCTATCGCCCCTCCACGCAGGAAGTTATAAGGTTTTAGAAGCGCTGTGCAAGGAATTGAGGACAGAGATCAAACACATATTTCCTATCACATGACAACTTCACAGATGGATGGATGGATTGATGGATGGATGCATCCACCCAAAGAGTCCAGGTGGGGCTATTTTTAAGACTAGTATTTTTAAAGGTGCCCTTTAGAACAGAAATGGGAAGTGTTAGAAGAGAAGTGCTTTTCCATTGATGTCTACAACAGAGGGTGGTTTCAAAGGCCTTGCTGGGTGTGCACACTGTCCTGCACCTTAAGACCCACCCCAGAGAGCAAAGGGGGCTCTGCTGGCACCCTTTCTGGGAAGGATCAGGTCAGGAAGAAGGAGTGTGTTCGGGTGGACCACGTGCCAGGCAGCCTGAACCCACAGGGAGTGAGGGGCCCCGCTTCCATTGGGTGGTGGGAAAAGCAGAGCTGATGGTGGGTAGAAGGCCAAACCAGAGAACTGGGCAGCACTTTGGGCTGCTGGGGTCATGTAGGGGAGCTTGAGCCACTGAATTCATCCAAAGGTCAACAAGTTGATCTGTGCAACCCAAGGGACAGAGACAGGTGGAGATGAAACTAACACTGCTTAAAGATGGTGGAAGCTAGGAGTGGGTTTCTCCAGTGCCTCTGTCTCTACATGATGGCCGGTGCAGCCGGAGGGGAACCGGAGAGTCAGTCACTCCTGGCATAAGGGACTGTGCATAGTAATTGGGTGGCCACTCCTTACACAAAAGGATCTTGCTCAGATGTCCCTGTTACAGTCATTACTGCAACTCAGGATCAAAAGTAAATGTGGAGGTGTATGGATCGAGATTTGCCTGTAAATAAAATATGATCACCATCCTGAATGCGACATCACCTGGGTTCTCTAGGTTCTCTTCCGAGTCCTCTTGGGAACCAAATTAAACGATTGCTTCCAGATTGACCAGCAGATGGCGCTAGAAGAGTTTACAAACACTTGGCCCTGGAGGTAGAAAATCCTCAACTAAGACAAAGCTTCAGTGATCTACTTGGATTTGGGGACCCCAGATGGACCTTTTTTCTCCTCTGTCTTTACTTTTAAATTTTATTTTATTTTATTTTACTCTAAAAAACTTTACTATTTTTATTTATTTATTTATTTTTAAAGAGAGGGAAAGGGAAGGAGAAAGAGAAGGAGAGAAACGTGTGCGAGATTAATCAGTCTCCTTTCACACGCTCCCAACTAAGAACCTGGCACAACCCAGACATGTGCCCTGACTGGGGATCGAACCTGCAACCTTCCTGTTCACAGACCAGTGCTCAGTCCACTGAGCCACACCAGCCAGGGCGAAACTTTACTATTTTTATTTAGAATCATAGACTTCTGGTCTTGTGAACATACGCACAAACACAGTAGTGCAGACTTAGAGTAAACTTTGTAAAATTCAGAAAAAAAAGAAAAGATCTCTTAATATTTCACTTTTCAGAGACAAGTGTCAGTACAATTTTGTTCATTGCATAGATGCATAGGATCATAATTAGGGTTTGGGATGTTCAGAGCTGGAAAGGATTCAGAACCCTCTAGTCTGGCTCCTTCACACTGTGAGGTCACAGGACCCAGATAGGCCCAAGGTCACCCTGTCAGGCAAGCGGTGCCGTCCCCGCGGGCCCATTGCTCTGTTCTGAACTGTGTGTACTGTTCAGCCTGCCTGTCCCCGTCTGGTACAGTCACCTCCAGGCCGCCTCCATCCCTCTCTTTCATCCCTTTCTGAGCAGGACTTTGCCCAGAACGTCGTGGGAGGTTGGTTTAGAGCTGATGAGGCTGCAGATTCTTCTTGTCGGGGAACAAAAGGCTGTTCTCAGAGGCACAGAGGGGTGTGGAAGACTGAAAATGCTCAGAAGAGAGGAGCTCTGGAAGCTGCAAACGAGGCAAGAAAACTGTTCAGCAGATGCAGAGAGGGCAGAACTGCTCCAATCCCTCCTGCACAGATAAACAAACAGCCACGGAATTAGTGTGAGGACAATCATTTCTTTAAATGAGCTGAGAGGTGAGGGTCCGGTGAATTGTGTCTTCTGGCATCAACAATTACATTAGGAATATAATTTCATGTTGATCATGTTTGTGAAAACAGGGAGAATGAGATTGATTCCACAGGGCTCGGTGTTCCAGGATGAAAAGAACCAATGATATTTTGCATGAGTGTATGAACAATAGGAAATTATGTGGATTAACCAAAAAGGCAACAGGGAAAGGCTGAGGTGTAGGATGCATGAATGGGTCATAATTATACCATTTCCTAGTTTGATGAGGTGTTGGACCTTTGGAGAGCATTTATGAATAAATACAGTGATTGTTAAGCTACAATGCCAAACTGTGCCAGAAGGGTTGGTGTGTGGGAAGATCACCCACCATACCTTGGCGTTTTGAAGATTTATCAGTCTGTCATGTGCCTGGGACCATGGTGTGCCAAGGAAGGCAGAGCATAGGGTGGGATAATGCAGCTGAAGGAGCTCCTGGCCTAATGTTAGAGAAACGATTGAAATGTGTTTTGGAAAATAATATCATGCTTATTAGAAAGATATGTAGCTGTCTAAACAACCATACTCATTTTTTTCAAAGAAAGCTACATATATCCTAAGTGTGCCGCATTATGTATTTTTACAAACTGAACACCCCCGTGTAACCTGCACCCAGATTAAGAAGCCGAATGTGACAGCACCCCCAAAGGCTCTATGTGTCCCCGCTGGGTCATTGTCCCCTCCTCTATACTATTCTGACTCTTTCCACTATAGGTTAGTTTTGCCTGTCTTTGTACTTGACCTAAACAGAGTTACATGGAACATAATCTTTTGCGTGTCTTGCTCAAATTACTTCTGTGAGATCTCCCACATTGTGTATAGTTGCAGGTTGTTCATTCCATTGTGAGACTATCCCACAAATGACATCTCCGTTTCCCTGTTGGTGGTCTTACGGGTGATTTCTGGCACAAACAGTGCTGCTCTGAAGGTTCTGGCATGTGCCTTCTGGTGGACATCTGATTGTTTTTCTGTTGGATGTGCTCTCTGAGAGGTAGCCTTGCTGGCTCCTAGTTTATCAGGAACCACTGAAGGCAGTGACTTGTCTTGGGTGTCACTGAATGTTTGTGGAATAGGATGTTTGTAACTGAGAAGAAAGAGAGCCATTGAAGATTTAGAGCAGGGGTAACAAGCTGAATGTTGTTATTTCAGTTGGTCCAGAAGGAGTGGACTGGGAAAGGGCAGACCCTAGGAAGGGCAGAGATGCCACACTTGGCCACTGGGTTGAAGTTCCTCGTTCGGCCTCCCTCCACTTTTCTCATCATCTCTGATTTTTTTTAAAAAGCCTAATCAACCTGATCATTTGATCTGTGAGTTTCTTCTCTCCCTAATATGCAGGAAAATGTCCAAAAGGAGAAAGGCCTTCCCCAGGATGTGGTTACCGTACTAGGTGGGACGGGCCAGCTACTGTGTCAGAGGCAGTGACTCCTTCATTTCCCATTGTGGTTGTCATCCCAGGGGAGGATGCAAAGAAAGCTGGCACCAACCAGAGACCCAGGTTCTAATCTCCACCCTGCTGTTTTCTGCCTCGAGTGACTTTAGTTCTCATCTGTTAGAGGATAGCTTAGCCTCCTCTGTCACATAACTGCTCTGTCTCAGACAGTAAAACACCTACTTAACGTGTATCTTTGGGGGAGGTGGAAGCACCTCCGTTTTCACAACTGGACAGGAGGTATCATGTCCCCCACTACTCACAGGGCTTATCAAATGTTGCTTGGCACTGTTGGAATCATAGACATCTATACAAATGCTTCCCCCAAGATATTATAAGGGGAAGTAAGGTGCGGTCTAAAAGCTGTTTTGAGTACATGTTAATTACTCAAGAGCCTGTCAGAATCACTAGCGAAGGATTTACTGTTGTGATGACAACTAGTGAAGACTGAAGGCGTTCGTGCCAGAGGCTGGGTCTGTGAGGGCTTCGGCCAGGAGGAAGGTTGGCGCATCATCAAGACAGGTCACAGTCGGTGTGGAAAGTAGTGATCAAGTCCTAGAGCCAACCAACCTGGCAATGGCAGGATAAAGTTGCTTGATATTAAAAGTCTGCAGGGATGAGGTCTGGCAGCAGATGGGAAAGGGGGACCCAACATTGTAAAGAAATGCATTCATTGAAATATAACTAACATGCAGAAAAGTGCACATACTGTAAGTGCACAATTCAATACATTTTCACAAACTGAACAACCTTATGTAACCAGCAGAATATTTTAAAGCCTCATGCCTGATCTCCACCCACCCACAGGATACCTACTATCCTGAATTCTAATGCCCAGTACAGTTTCACCTGCTCTTGGGTTTTATAACACTAGAACCATGCAATATGTGCTGTTTTGTGGCTGGCTTCTTTTGTTCGTCATTATGTTTGTGAGCTTCATCAATGTTGCCCAGAGGTGTGATTTTTCAGTTCTCATTCCTGCACAAATAGACCAAATTTATTTATTAATTCATCACTTGATGAACATTTGGGT